GGGTGCCCGCCAGGTCATCTCCAAATATCTCATGCCTTGCGTATGAGGGGCTGGCCACCAGCTTTTGGATCTTGTCGGCCTCCCAGCTCCAGACGATTTTTATGTCGACGCAGTTGCGCAGGTTTTCCATTGTTTTGCCAAACACTGAGGTGTTCATCAGCTTGTAGAAGTTTGTTTCGAAGTTGCTCTTCGCCTCTTTCCGGAACTCTGTGTTCATCCTTATGTATGGCTCCATCCACTGCTCCTGGTCAAACTCAAGTACCCGGTGGACCTTTTTCAGGCACCTGCCCTGTTTCAAGTATAGCTGCAGGTTCCTGTAATGGACTATGTACTTTTCTTTGTTCTCCAGCGTCAGGAGCAGTTTCTCGCTTTTCGGAAAGTCTAACCCCAGATCGGTCATCATTCTTTTTTGGTATCCTGACATCTTTTCCGCCCCAATGGACTTCTTCTCTGGCGTGAGTGGGTAGCCGTTCTGGGCTTAGTGGAGCTCTCCCGGGTACTCCAGGGTCCACCTCCAAGATCCACCCGATATGCAATCCTTATTTCATCTTCATTATCTGCTCTACGGTGGGCATCACTTGCCTCCACTTGAAACCTCCTTTGGGCAGTGGAAGGCTCATCACCCAAGCTGTGGAGGTTTTTCGCGTGATATATTTGTTTGGCTTGGTTGGTCGTAGTTGGCGGCCCGCAGTTTGTTTGCCTTCGCATACTGCTTGCTCACCATCGAGATGCTGCCCCGCTGCCTTTTTCGATGAACAAGTGCATGTCCAGTCTCCAGTCTTTTTCAGCAGTGCATCCCAGCTCAGACTGGGGGCTGTCTAATAATGCACCGGGTCAAGGGCGTACTTTCCCATGCATACTTTCCAGAAGTTTTCGAATACGTCTGCCAGCAGTACGACGTCGGTCTGCACGTACAGGTCGTGGTAGTCGCTGAGGGTCTTGCACCCAAACTCGGTCCAGACCTTTTGCATGTGGGTACTCTTCGTTGGTTATCTCTTTTCCAGACAGTTTCAAGAAGAACTCTTCTTTGGCAGGGAGCACTATCTTGGCAAACCTTTCAAAGCTCTCCAAGTACTCGTACAGGTAGATTCCTTTCTTCAAGAGCAGCTTTCTCTTTTCTCCGTCTTTACACAGCTTTTCTATTATTTTCATATCCTCTGGTATGCTTCCCATTACCAGCGTGTCAAGACTGCTCATCATGAAGTTTAAGCTGTCGATGAACCCAGGTTTCCCAGCGAAAATGAGACATATTTCTCTGTGTTGTTTGGGATGCAGCTTATTTCTCCCCGCACCTGTGACATTGGTTTTGGCACCATTTTGGGCTTTATGGGGAGCTTCAAGTTGCAGTCATTGTGTGCAGCCCCCTGGTATTTTCCTGTTATGTGGCAGTGGTCTTTCACCGCATCTCTGTAGTTGTTTACCAGCAGCGGCTTTCCGCAAAATATGCAGGCTTCGGTGTCAGGGCCTTTGGGCTATCTCTCTCTTCTTGGTCCAATGAATCCCCTCATCACACTATAATAACAACTTTTGTGGCCTTGACCGCAATATTCGCCTATGTCAAGGTCATACATGTCAAATGCGTCTTTGAAGCCAGCCTTTACCAGGCTTTCATTGCAGATGTGACATTCTGTTGTGGTGTTGAACTTTATCCAGTTCTCTTTTGTCATTACGATTGGCTTCTTGTCGGCTAACTCCGACCTCATAAATTCTGCATGCTACTGCAGACTTGCCAAAAACTGGTACACTGCGTCTCCTCCGCGATACACGTGAGGTCCGCGCGTCTGTCCGTCACTTTTCATGATTAGATATGAAAAGCCACAGGGTTCATGGACTGTGGTTTTTATCGTTGCCTGTCCTTTTTGGGCACAGCCGCGGATCTTCCTTATCAAAGACTCAAAGTCAGCGTACACCACAAACGGCGCTTTCATCTGCCCTTGGTGGTTCTTGAACTTTACCTTGCTTTCACCCACTTTGGGCAACTCTGTCCTTATGGGACGTTTCAGCTGCCCCATGTATTCTGGTCTGCGTCTTTCCAGCAGCTCCTTTCTTTGGTATCCGTGCAAGCAGCGTTCGCAGAAATGTTTGCTGTTGTTGTGCTGTTTTGGTCATACAGCAGTGCACTGAGCCTTTTCACATAGGTATAGTGCGATTTTTCTTTGTCTTGTATAAGCATCAAGTTGATTCTTGGGTGGCTTCCGTCTTTTTCACTGAGCCTATGCATGATAACACACTTGTCTTCCCATCCGAAGACATTTATCGCCAGGTTTGGGTTTTGTTTTTGTAGCTTTTTTATCTGTGATACAGGTGTTGGGAAGTCTATTCCTGTAAAATTCAACCTGTCTTCTGTGAGGTATCTTAACGGCCTTAATACGTTCATTCCGTCTATCGGTGGAAATAACGCCATGTGCAGTGCCCATCTCAAACACTGATTGTCTCGGTTTTGGACGTTTATGATTGCTTTTTTGTTTTGTAGCCTTTTAGGCAGAGGCATGTAGCTGCCTTCACGAAAGGGTTGGTATTGGGTGACATTAACAAAGGCATCCAAAACTATTTACTGTTGCCATGTTGTTTCTGTTAAAAATCGCTGACTCTCTGTTTAAAATAATATTTCATTTGTTCTTTTACAGCATTCCTAGTTATCAAAAAGCTAACGTTAAGGGCGAACTGTATTTTCACGCTTTTCAGGGTTTTAATTTCATTCTCTATCACTTCTTTGAATCTTGCTTTTGTTTTTTGCACACATTTCAGAAGGTCTGCTTTGAATTTCTAAGCTACTGGAACTGTCATTCTCCATACACGAAGCCATTCGTCTAATTTGGTTCTTACCAATCGAAAATCTAAATCCCTTCTGGGCCTTAAAGGTAGTTGAAGCCTCTCATTCTCTTCTCTCGAAATAGGGCCGTAAAACAGCTCAATCACGTCAGAAGAAAACCTTGACACAGCCATGGTTGCTTTATACTAAGACAGGCTCCTTCTTCAATTAAAAAATAAATCTATATCAACAATCTCAGGCAGCTAACACACATGTATAAGGGGGTTCTGGACTCAAGGCGGGTTGCTTCTAATCACAGCGAGCGAACTAAGACGCGAAATGAGCAGCTACCCACTCTTGATCCAGAACCCCCCTTATACATGTGTGGACAACGCACACACCTTAAACTTGGAGAGCTGTCTTCTTTATTTATCTTCTATAATATCACAATTTCTTGGCTTTATCTACTGACTAGTTTTTGATTTTATTTTTTACTGTGTTACAGTGAAAAGGCTCTATTGAAACTTGAGTTTCAACAGTGGTCTTCAATGCTTCTTATTTCTGGTAACTTTTGCAAAATCCCTAATTTTTGATGGGCCCAGACAATGACTTATTTTTCAGGGGTATTAGTTTCACTTTTCATAGGAACCTGTGAAACAAACGACAACATTTCTAGAGTCATGCATGGTGCAAGCAAGAATTTGTTAACAAAATTGTCACTAAATGCCTCAAAATGATAAAAATAGTATTCTGAAGGTGGTTTTAGGTCATTCCATGTTTTAGTATTTATGCAATCAATCAATGGTTTCAACCAAACTGTTATGAATAAACAGCTGTATTTCCTCATTACTAATAGACTTTTACAGGGTGGCACAGTGGTAAGGTTTCAATCTGGGAGTTGGAAGTTAGAATCAAGGGTTGGCAGTTCGAATCCTTGTGTGGGGAGCATTTTTTTCTCCAAGCTACTAAGGGATGGTTTGCGTTTATAAACAAAAAAAAGTTCAAGCAATAAAAGTAGAGTAACAATACAAAACAAATGAGACGACATAGATATTTGAAATAGTTCTTTGCGGAAGTGAAACCCTCACACGATTTTTGGAAAAGTTTCAGTTAAAAGCCGATGTCAAAGCTATCAATGGATCGAATTAAACAATCTTTATTGCATACTAAATAGTCTTTAATTTTGGGGCACTTTTTTGACTCCAAATGTGAAAGATCAGTTTATTGCTTTGGTAGCCAAATATTTCTTGGCCCTTTTGCAAAATGCCATGGTCAGTGGAATTACCACCCAAAAATTGTTTATGACCTATCGACTGACTGATGGACCAAGCAAGTGAATTATTTCTTTCCCAACCAATTGCTATAACTCATTCTAGCTACACTATGCTAGCTATCACTCGTTAAAAACTAACATAAGATCTAAGACTTAACATGGTAAATGGTTTGAACCCAGGAGTACCAGTAGTTCCTATAGTGTAATCATCCTGGTGAGGGCAGTTCTGAAAAGAACTGTTGTTGGTGACTGACGTTTCGACAACGCGAGCGGAAGTCATCTTAGAATAGTGTTTGTTAGTCAATGACGTTGCAAGTCTGGTCCGTTGATTGTAATTGGTCAGTTTAGCCATGATGGTATTGGCTGAAAGACTTGTGTAAAGTTTGTCATCAGTCATTGGTTGGNATCTAAGACTTAACATGGTAAATGGTTTGAACCCAGGAGTACCAGTAGTTCCTATAGTGTAATCATCCTGGTGAGGGCAGTTCTGAAAAGAACTGTTGTTGGTGACTGACGTTTCGACAACGCGAGCGGAAGTCATCTTAGAATAGTGTTTGTTAGTCAATGACGTTGCAAGTCTGGTCCGTTGATTGTAATTGGTCAGTTTAGCCATGATGGTATTGGCTGAAAGACTTGTGTAAAGTTTGTCATCAGTCATTGGTTGGTTTCGATCCATCCATTGTTGGTCGTCAAATTGGTCGGTGTTTGGTCTGTCTATTGTTAGTCAAATTAAGTTGGTCTGTTAGAAGTCCATTTGTTGGTTTCTTTTCTGTCATGGATAAGTCGTTTTAAGACCTAAGTCCTAAGACCCCCTCCAAATCTCAAAAATAAGACATAAGGTGTTAGGTTTTGAGACACCCATCAAGTGGGATACCATACAAAGCCTTTGCTTACCTGCAATTGTGACTCACCCAATCATAAAATGGCTAATTAGAGTATAGAGATACTTAAAGAGAAAGTTCAATTCTCACTTACCCAACCTTACTTGCAAATCAATCATCACATCAGTAACTGATGTATGCCCCAAGACCTGTGCAGTACAAAGCCTCACTTCAACACTTTCGGTAGGTGAACTTGTTTGAAGGGTTATATTTGCAAACTCTATCACTGCCTGTAAAGATTCTAAAGCAATGTTTGTGTCCTACAAAGAAGAGTAAAACAGGGTTAAGAATGATGACAATCATATGACTATGCTATTCTGCTGCCTGTACAATCAAACTCATTAATAATTCATCAAGTTTAAACAAAGGAAATCATGACCATGACAGAGTTTCAATGTCTGATCTTAATAAGCATAGATTTTTACTCTCCTACTTCTCCATTTTCTCATTAGTTTTAGTTTTGAGGAGATATATCAAACACTCTAGACAGTGTTTGACCACATCTCCAAACACCTTGAAGTTCATCAAAAATACCCTGCTATGTGTTGTATGTCAAACTCTCTTCTCTGTGTTTGGAACTATGGTCAAACGTGGTCTTTTGTGTTTGATATATTACATATTACACATCTCATTCCCTCATATTCCTACCAATAATCAAAAATTACTCCGTGCACCTACAATGGATACAAGGTGATAAATAACTGAGGCATGGAGCACCAACTTTGAAATAATTTTTTCTTAAGTTCTTCAATCCTCTGCATGATGTGGATTTCATTTAGATCTAGGTAAATAAAGTGTGGGTATCAAAAAGTGGCAAAGGTTTTCGCAAATTGATCACTTTTTGAGTTAAATAAGATTTCTGGAAAGTGAGCAAGACAGCTGTCTTCTAAAAGATTCTTTTTATAATCACCTCCAAAGGTGTCTATATTGTGGCAAATTGTGACAACAAAAGAACCTTTAAGGGAAGATCATAAGTAGTGGTGTTAATGAAAATAGAATGCCTAGTGCAACTGAAATAAATCAAGCATTTACTTCGTTATACAACTGTAGAGATCAAGACTTCACACTGTTGAGTATAAAAGGACAAGACCCAAATGTAAGGCAACAAACTCTACTGGAGAGCAATGCTTAATTTCATGCCAAAAATATGTTTTGACAAAAGGCAGGTATAAAAGTTGGACTGGATCAACTTGGACTGCAGTTCAGGTCAGATCAACTCAGATTGACTCAGATCAACTCGGAATGACTTGGATCAACTCAGATCATAACAAATAAAATTAGAGGAAATTGAAACTTTTACCTACTTGAAAGTCAATAAAATTCCCCACAAAAATAGGCTAAATCGAGAAAGACTCACTGCACTTCTCTGTGTTATAGAGCCGCCCTTTGGTATTTTTAGTGCCAGTTCCTACTGGATCAAGTTGCGAACTCATTTTCACCCATCCATTCAATCTCCATCAATCATGACTACCCAGCGTGTAGATCTCATCTGGTTCTCAACAAACAGCATAATCTAACGATTTTAGGCTTTGTTTCCACAGAAGAAATAACTACTCAATACTCCCCACCTTAGAAGGCTGGACCATTTGACTTGAGAGGTAGTGTGGATGATTTGCTATAGGCATGAATTCTTTTTCACTCTTTCATGCTCAAGGAGTTTTTCTTCTGTGTATGATAGATATATATGTATGATATTCTGTGTATGCAGGATATTTTTTTCCCCATGGAACATGATTTTTTGGCTCACAGATTGTGTGTGAAATTTTTTTTCAACAGTTGTCAAGTGCATGAATTTTTTTGGGGTACAAGTATGCTTGCCTCCCCTTGGTGGTGTGCCTTGTCGTGGCGGGGAGGCTTGTGTGACCTTGCGACCCCCAGGGCTATGCTGGCAGGAGCCTTGTGCTCCTGGCAGGTCTAACCATGCTGGATTGGTCTGCGCGGTGAGGGTCCAGACTAAAGCAGCACCGGCTGGGGAGCCATATAAACCCCCTAAGGGAAGAAAAACCCTGACAGAAAACCACTAGCCCTCCAGGTCATGGGGGTTGGGCGGTAGGCCAATCACCTGCCCCCGAAAATCCAGAAGATTACCGAAACTGTAACTTATCAAGAACAAATTAGCAATGGCAAAGCTGTGGCCGTGGATGGAGGAACAGCCGGACACACCATGATGTCAATGGGTAAAAGCCTACGGGAAGCTCGCAGACCGACAAGGTCATTGGCAACGCCAAAATCTACCACTGGCGTTAAACAAGGATGTGTCATGTCAGGCTTCCTGTTCCTGCTTACTGTTGACTGGAAAGAGATGGTCCAGCTGGGCGGAGGTCAGGGGTGCAGCGCAAGACAGGGCTAGTTGCCAAGAGACAGTTACAGCCTTATGCGCCTCATGGCGTGAAGAGAAATAACTATAACATAACAAGTATGCTTGCAGGAATTTTTTTAAAATCACTCCCACTGCCTCAAAAGTCAAATGGTTGTCCAACACAAGCAAGCGCTGGACATGAAGAAACAGACGGAGAAACCTTTAGATGGGTAAAAGTTTAAATTTCCTCTAATTTTATTTTTTTATGATCTGACTTGATTCCAGTCAATCCAAGTTGATCAGAGTTGATCTGACCCAGACTGGTGGTCTGAGTTCACTACCAACTGTAGTTTCTTAAAAGTCCCATGAAATACTCATGAAATACTCGTGAATCTTTGTTCAGGGCCATGAATATTGCAATTTCCTATTTTTATGGCATCATTGAAACCTGTTAATTTTTTATGAAAATTCTTTCATGGTTCATGAAAATCTTTTTCATGGTCTTGAAAAAATCGCCACCGGTGCAGAACTGAAATTAATGGGTTATTAAAATCTGTTTTCATAAATAATTGCCATGAAATTTATGAATGAATCAAAGTTCAATTTAATGGGTCATGAAACATAAAACTAGATTCCATGACACATGAAATTGGCATGGAAGTCAGAAACTGATCAGGCCTGAAATTAATTGGTCATGAAAATGTGTTCATGGCCATGAAAAGTCAGAAATATCAACCCAAATAAAATTTAATGGGTCATAAAAATTTTGGTTAACTTTTAATCCTGGGCTAGTGTTAACCAGCCTCCAAACAACCTGGGCCTGATTACAACAAGTTAACCTGGCTTGAGCCCATGATTCACTAAAAAAATCAACACTTGGTTACCAAAAAACTTCAAAAATACATGTGTGTTATTATATTCAAAACACAAACACCATGTTGGATCAAAACTCTAGTCGAGCTTTGTTTTTGCCTTTGTTTTTCCTCCAAGGTGGTTTCACATCTTTTACTGCTGCTTCTGCTTGTCCATTTGCTGCTTGGTGCTTTGGGCTCACTATGACATGTTCAAAGTTGTAGCTTTTGGCAAAGTTCTCAAATTCTTTGCTTATGCATCGAGCACCACAGTCAGTAACTAAATCTTTCTTTGGAGCTTTAATGGTTTCCTGGGATGTGAGGTATTTCAATTTGGCTACTTTAATGTATTTGGAGCAATAATTGACTAGTACCAGGTGATGCTCCCTTCAAAGGTGAGTATGTCTGATGCAGCCATTGCTGCATCAGACATTCATTGACATAGACATTAAATCTCGAAAGACATACAAAGCTGCTGTGAAAAAATGCCTTCATAGCCTTAATTGAAGTATTGTTTTCATATCATGACATCTAAGTGGTGTTTTTGTAAGAATATGCAATATTATTGCATAATCTTATATAGTGATTGGCCCATGTTGAAGGTTTGAGGATTTTATGAAACCTGAGAAACTCTCCCCTGATGTGAGTTAATAGTTAATGAAGATAACTAAAACTCAAGACGAAATCAGATTGTTGCATTTACAAAGTGGCAGACAAGATGATATTTGAAATGTAAACTGCCTGTGCTTAGTCAGATCCCCTCTAAACGGGTTACTAACAGTGTATTTATTTTGTAAACGATTATGTTATTGCTGATACAGTGTTCAGGTTCCCTGTGCTTTGGGTGAGTGAGAAAATTTCATGAACGCAAATTGAATGGGAGCTTTAAAGATGCCTGCAGGCCAAAATTAAAGCTTCTTCTCTTGTTTTTTAAGCAGTGATGTAGTGATCTCAAACCCTTTGGTGATTTTTGTGTTTTTCACACTGTGGTGTTCATTAAAGTAAAGTAATTTGTGGTGTTGTGGTTTCTTGTTTGACCTTTCTCAGACCTTAATTTAGCATCCAAACTTCATTAATCCGTGCTAATTTATGACAAGCATGTACGATTGTTTTTAACAAAACACAGACCAACACTGTCTAGTTAAACTTCAATATGCTTCAGCTGCCAATCCGATGCTGTTTTCATTAGGAAGTAAACTTTACCTCTGCCATGATGTACCCAGAGCTGGACCGAATTTATTATTGACTGTGTAGCTTTTTTAGCTGATTTCCAGGAAAGACAGGCAATGACAAGGGTTGTGATGTGTTCATTTCCTGAAAAATTGTTGGTGCTGCCCAAGACAATGCAATGTTAGCCAAGGTTAAAGTTCGATTTACCCTGTGATCAACCATGGTCGGCGTCAACAAAACCAGAATCGGACCGGATCAGATCATGGATCAGATCAAGGAGCGGATCACGGATCAGATCACAGAAAAAAAAGTTTTAAAGAAAAAAATCCAAAAAATCAAATCAGTTATAAGATACTAATAAATAAAAACAAAAGTGGGAAACTAAAATATGTTAAATGAAAATAAGAATCCAAGTTTGACGCAAGTAATGACATGTTAATTACGGAGAATGACAAGAGGTCATTTAAAGAGCCACATAAGCACCTAATTTACGATGAATTTAAATTGTAATAAACAGGCAGATGGAGTTATATTTGAACGTTAGTTGGCTTGAAGCTTGTGTGAACTCCCATTCTCATTTTTGAAATTGTTGTTAGTGTCAGTAGCAAATTCTCGGCTACATTTTCGTGTCATATGTGAGTGTTACAGTTGGCGTTACAGTTAATGAGAAAACTTACGAACGAAAGCTCAAGGACATGACTTGCTTTAAAGGGGCTACGTCACAGTTCACGCATCTTGAAAAAACTAGCCTAGTTTTTTCAAGTTCATCATTTGCTGTCCTTGTTAATCTTTGCCATCCTTAATGATTCTCATTTCGTTTTGATTTGTTCTGCCTCTTAAGTGTTTTCTACCCTAGAACACAATCATTTCAAGGTTTTATTCTATTTAAAGGCAACTCTTAACAACCCTAGAAATAACTCTAAAAATCATGACGTAATTCCTGAAATGTTGTTTATTCTCGGGTTGTGTTATCGCTCAGACTATCGATGTTATTCCTAGAATTTTTCCTAAAACAGCTATATTTCTTTGAAATACAAATGGTTTGTTTCATTTTATTCCAGCACAAAATATCGTATTCTAAACTCACATCTTGTAAAAGTATAGACTTGTCTGAAAAACAGAAATTGTTTGAAATCATCAGGTGTTTAATTTGTTTAGTGTGTTTTTGGTTTTTGTGTTTTGATTCATACCTTCGTCCTATTATTACCATGCTGACTCGTTTTATGACAGTTTGCCTTTGATATTATAAAGGAGTAACGGATTATNTGACGTAATTCCTGAAATGTTGTTTATTCTCGGGTTGTGTTATCGCTCAGACTATCGATGTTATTCCTAGAATTTTTCCTAAAACAGCTATATTTCTTTGAAATACAAATGGTTTGTTTCATTTTATTCCAGCACAAAATATCGTATTCTAAACTCACATCTTGTAAAAGTATAGACTTGTCTGAAAAACAGAAATTGTTTGAAATCATCAGGTGTTTAATTTGTTTAGTGTGTTTTTGGTTTTTGTGTTTTGATTCATACTTTCATCCTATTATTACCATGCTGACTCGTTTTATGACAGTTTGCCTTTGATATTATAAAGGAGTAACGGATTATCACACCTGAATTAAATAAAATGTTCTGCTCAGTAGTCACTCTAGTGTAATTTGTTCAGCAAAATTTTGCATTTTGAATCTTGAATTTTGAAGTTTTTCCTCGATCTGATCTGTGATCCGATCCATGATCCGATCCGTGATCCATTCCATGATCCAATCCATGATCTGATCTGTGATCCGATATGTGATTTGATCTGTGATCCATTCTGTGATCTGATCCGTGATCTGCCGCAACCATGGTTTAGGTCAGTAACAACGGTTGAGATGACAGATATATCATGCGGTTGCATGGTATCTCAAAACCTGTGGTGTCCAGATTGCATCAATCTCATTTGGTTGCGTTTTCCACAACGTTTGATTTCATGGCAAAAAAGTAAGCCAAATCCAGACCAGCCACTGGAACATCATATTCAAACGTATGTCTAGATAGTCTGAAGTTCTCTATCCACCAGTTTGGAATGAAATTTCCATGCAAAATGGTTTCAAACCAGTGTACCAAACTTGGGGGTACACTCAAGGTCACCCAGCTTAATGCAAATCCAGTTTTTAAACTCGTGGATACGCGAAGCAGTTCATANTGGGGAAAATTGGCTAGAGACCCGGAACTACCATGCAAAAATCAAGTTCCAGTTGATGTTTACGCCACTCCCCCACAGTCAATTGCATGCATGTTCATTTCCCATTGTTTTCTTTGTTACTTATACCACACTTGTCTTGATGATATTCCAACCTATTCTGTGCTCGATTTTCCATAAAAAACCCCCTTGCACTACCAATCAAAGGAAAAGAGAGTTCTAAATCTGCAATGCATCTGTAATCTTGGAAATTCTAGGTGAGCTAAATTGTTAATGAACTTGAATCTGTCCCATTGATGGTTCTGGGCATTATTTTCTTTTTTCATTGATTTTATATAGAGTCAGTATGGGGTCAGTGTTTAGTCAAAACCCCTGCACAAGGCCTTGCACAAGTGAACCATCTTGGTAGACATTTTTCTGAGGATTGTTAGATGAAAAACTGCATTTGCATTTCTTATTAGCTTCTTGTTAAAGAAGAGCTACAACCAAGACTGGCAATCACCTAAAGGCTCATATACCAGTCTAATTAACTACTGAACAAAGAATTTACCTTGTTGCTGATCATTCCATGCATCAGAGAAACCATACGTGATAAAAAACACAACAGTGCACACTTCAGGCTGTCTCTGAGAGAGAAATAACAGCTGCATTATATTTCTCTTTTTATGTTATAAATTTCTATTGGGGTAGACATTTGGGGGGCAAGTTTCTAATTAACCAGAGTAGGAATATTAGTTTTGGATGACTTCATGACCAAAGTGTGGGTTGTAAGTAAAATGTAGTGGATCCTCATTAATTTGCAGATAAAACAGGTAGTTTATTAACACCAAAAGGTGATTGATTGTTACTGATCTATTTTGTTTGCAAAATAAAAGTCTACTTAAAAAAGAATCATATCATTGTGTTTTCCCTTTTTCTATCTGTATATTAACTTTATTTGTTTTCTACACAACTATTACTTACATTTCCCTTGTATATCACTTCCCCTATTTCACTTTCTGATTTGTTTCCTGCTCTAACATTATACATTATACTTTTGCATTCGCCACTTAAATATTACTTATCTTATGTTTATTACGTATTCAATAATAAAATTGTTACATTACTAACACCTTATTCATGCATTACTTGACTATTTGACAAACATTACATTACTTACATTTATCTTACATATTACTTAACCTATTCCATTTAAGGCATTGCAAACTTATACTCATCACTTCAAGTAATTTCGGAGTGGTGTCTATAAAATGAGGACTGATAACCAAAACCAAAGAGTTTGTTAATTTTAGGCCTCTCAAACTAGTTTCTACTTTAATGCTTTGTCACATGCAAAGAGTCAACAAATTGACAGGGTCTTCATTTTGTAGAGAAGGCGACCCCAAAACTACAAATGAAGACCTATCAGTCATTTACTTATGATGCAAAAAGTATAATTTGAAATGCTTTTATGATTTATTCAAATTAAACACAGAGTTTTCTAATTCCTGTATATTTAATTTACCATACACTATTGTTTAAGGCATTAGTATTAGCTTTTTCATATCACATCTGGTTTATGCAAAATGTACCAATTTTCGATGTTTTAGTTTATCATTTCCATGGAAATGTGGGTGTCTTGAAAACAAAGACCCCCTAAGACCCCTAAGAACCCCCTAAGGCCCCAAAACTTGAACACAAAGACCCTCCATTTTTTTGCATATTTTTTGGGCACTCCTCTCGGCAGTACCCTCTAGAAAAATTGCATTTTTTCTAAGGGGAGGGGATGCTGTGTGATCTGTAGGTTCACGAGATACTCTGCATAAGATACTTTGACAAAACGACAGCAACTGAAGATGACACAGAATGCTGGCTCAAACAGTTTGTGAGTATGTCAACCTCATGCTCTTCACAGGAGATTAGAGACTGGAGGGAGGGAGGGAAGGGAGGGGAGAGAGGGAGAAAGAGAGGGGGGAAGCGAGCAAGGCCCTCAGGCACAGGCTCCTGTTGAATTTAATCTGGCTATTCACCACAGTGATAAACCATTTGTAGTATGCAAAATGACATAGGATCCACTTGTGAAAAAAAGATCTGGACATGGCTCGACAATTTCCGGGGACATGGTTTAGTCAATGTTTAAGTCTATTTACAAATTCCCTCGCCCTCCTCGCAAAAGACAAGTTTTTTAGGGCGGGTGGAAGGAAAGAGGGGGAAGTAATGGGGTGAGGTGGATTATAGTACAGTTGTCAGCTTATTAACCTCATGCTCTCCATGGAAGATTAAAGAGCAGAGAATGGTACAAATCTGAAAACTCCACCCCTTCACCTCGGAAAAAGACAATTTTGGGGGGAAGTGACAAAAACAAGAGAGAGTACAAACAGAAGACTTAAACTTTATTTAAACTTATTTAAACTGTTCTAATTATTGTACAAAATGGCATCCCCTCCCCTTCCCTCTGAAAAAGGTTTCCAGTGGCGACATTTCTGGGGGTACTAAGAAGAGGAGTAGCCCAGCCCCCCTTAAAAAATGTTAAAAATGGGGGGTCTTTACTTTCAAGTTTTGGGGTCTTAAGGGGTTTAAGGGTCTTTAGGGTCCTAGGGAGTCTGTTTTCAAGACACCCTGGAAATATTGATTACCATGAGAAAGACCAAATTAAACACAAACTAAACAAACCATTTCCAATTCCTGGTCTAATTTTCATATCGATCAGGTTAGGGAAGACTGCTAGAAAGCTGATTGACAATGCTTGGCATGGTCCAGAAAAAAACTGTATTGAGACACCTTAAAAGCTATTGTCACATGCCAAGAGACAAGAAATCAACCACATGGCCTTGTAATGGTGAACAACACTGCAATCTACAAGGTTGCCAAAATTAACTTCTGGTTGATGTATACCATGTGTGTCAATGGTAGTTACTTGTACGCATGTTCATTTACCAGTGTTTCTTTCATTGTTTAATTTTCAAAGGGGTACAATTACGATAGTTTCTGTTGATGATATCCCTACTTGTTCTGTGCTGGACTTTCTGCAAATTACAATTTAAGGAGAAGAAAGTCAGAAATCTGCAATGTGTCTGCCATTTTGAAAATTTCTGGTAAGCTAAATTTATTAACTAACTTTAATAAGAGCCATTTCTAGTACTAGCTCTGGGCTTTTTTATTTTCTTTCTTCTGTTCATTTTATAGGATCAGTAGAGGTAGGTACAAAAGTAGGACCAGATCACTTGCAGTTGGATCAACTCAGATCAACTCGAATTAACTTGGATCATTTCAGAGTACAAAAAATAATAAATTTGAGGAAACTGAAACTTTTACCCATTTGAAGGTTAAAATTCTTCTCAAAAATAGGCCAAATGAAGAAAAACTTGCCACATTTCTTTGTATTTTCAAGCTGCCATTTTGTATTTCTAGTGCTCTGTAATTTCTATGGTAGTCTCTAAGTATTGGCTTTCAAGGGACAAAGTTTGAAATATTCCGTGAACATAATATATTGCTTACTTGCATTCTATGTATTTTGAGTACAGTATCTTGCTTCTTATCACAGATATCATATTTATTTGCTCCGGTTTTAGCTTTACTTTGAGAAAGCTGTCTGTTTTGTTTCTTGCATCAATTTGGTCGATTTTATGTCTCTCAAGCTCAATGTTTATACTGCGGTTTATACCATTTGTTCTGGTTCCACATTATTCAAATGTAACTGTTTATGTGGAAGTCTGTCGTTGACTGTTTTGTGTGTTGTATATACCACTGTTTGGCTTAGTTCAGGCAAGGCCATGGTTTTGACCCTCCATGTGGATCTCGTCAGTTGCCAGGGTTTGGTACTCTATACACCTGAAGTTGGTAGTAGAACTGATACATATGTGAGAATGTTAGACATTCTGTGGCTTGGTGCAAACTTTTTGTAGTGTGTACCCTTGAGGTGGAAAGAAAATACTTGGTTTCTATTGGCACACCTAGCCAATGGTGTAATGTACTTTTCGATCCTTGATTTTCCTTCGTCGGATGGATGGATGGCAGGATGGATGGTGACAACAAAGGGAAACGTAACAAGTCGTTCTCGATTTGGCCTATTTTTGAGAGGAATTTTATCCTTAAAATGGGTAAAAGTTTTAATTTCCTCTAATTTCATTTTTTTTCTGAGTTGATCTGAGTTGATGTGAGATGATCCAAACCCGACTAGCAGACCGAGTTGATCCAGTCTGCAACTGGAAACCAGGCAGACCTATGAACTCTAAAAATTTAATTGCTGTAGCACAGTCTAACGGCTCCACTCTACAAAAATATACCTCCTAATAACATGACAGAGACTGCCCTTCAGAAACTCGTGTGAAACAAAGGTTGAAAGACTGAAAAGAGAACTGCAAATGTACAAACGTCACCAACATTGTTCCCAGGCTCTTTCTGCTCTCCCTTGAGAGAAAACCTGGGAACGTGGTTTTTGATCCAAGAGGAACTGGTACCAAAAATACAAAATGGTGGCTAGAAAACATGAAGAAATGTGGCAAGTCTCTTGATTTGGCCTATTTTTGAGAGGAATTTTAACCTTCAAATTGGTAAAAATTTCAGTTTCCTCAAATCTATTATTATTTTTTTATGATCTGAGTTGATCAGAGTTGATCCAACCCGGACTGGCAATGCGAGTGATCCGGTTCAACTTCTGTACCTGCCTGATCAGTAGGGGGTCAGTAAGGGGTCAGTGTTTCGTCAAAACCCTCTCGCAGGTAAACTGTATCCTGGTGTGGTGTGGCTTATCTGCCGTGGTTTAAGTAAATGCCACAATCAAAAAATATTGCAAATTTCACAAGTGCAATTCCGACTGGGGGCTGCCTAGCGAAGAATTTAAGTGAGATCTTTGAAATAGTATTTGAAGTGTTATTGTGTTATGAGTAGATGCTTGGTAATACATTTTTGCACTTATTGTTCGAAGTTGAGCAAAATCTGTCCTGAATGTAGGCTTAGTTTCTGACCTTCTCTCGAGTCTGATCTTTGCCCCTCATTGAGCGTACTATTAACTGTTCCTATAACGAAAATGAAACTTAATACATAAAATACCATACAATAAATTCTCTGATCCCATAATGCTTGTTCAGAATTCAAATGATACATCAGATACGTCACAAAACTCCTCCATTGGAGATTAATCACTGTTCAAACTGCCATACAAAAAATATTGAGGGACCAAAACAATACCTCGATGTCAAATTATAGTACATAACATTTTTTCACAGCTCAGTTTTGATTTTGTGAGTTGTCACCAGTTCTCTCTCTACTGCCATGCTCATGTGTTCTGCATGTTTTCTTCAACATGGCAATTTTGGCCTACCATTTTGCAATGGATGTGATTATTTGGCAAACCATGGACAAAGAAATGAGACGTTCAACTTCCCTTGTGTCAGAAAGAGTGGCTTCTTTGGAAGTGGAATTGTCAGACTCGGCTACGACAGGAATCCTGTTCATTTTCATCACAAACAGTGAGCCACCTATCTGGGCTACTGAATCGTAAAAGGAATAACAACGGCAACAGCTCAAACAAAAAATGCAAAATTGTCAAGGAACACAGAATACAGGTGAGATGGTTTCATTATGATGAAAAGAAGAAAGAATTTATCACTGTTTGACAAAAGAATGGTGGTGGAAATCGCTTTATTCCATACACTGATGAAGAACAACTTAGGTTGGAAACCCTAACTGAGAAGGCGTGTGCATTGTTTTTCCTTGATGGTGTGAATAATTTTCCTGGTGTATACAGGAAATGAACAAGTGGATGCGTAACGCAAGCAGAGTGGCAACTTTTGATTTTGCCAATGAAGGAGCTGTGGATTACCTGAAGAGAAATGGTCTGTACCTTTCCTCTACCTATTTTTCCTTTGTACACAGCCTCGACATCTTTTGGGAAATAAATTAAAAAGCAGTGAGCCTACCGGAGCAGAAAGCTTGCCAACATCTGAAGAAAGGTCTTCCATAGCATTCTTGACAGTTTTAGGACCAACCTCCACAGTTAGTGACAGGGAAGTGTGCAAAGTGTGTGGTTGTTCCTTTAAGAATGATGAAACATGTCTCTGATGTGCGCAAAACCACGAATACCAACAGAGTCCATTGGCTGATTGTGTTAAAAGAGCTACAGGCAAAGAATTGGAGTTGGAAGAAGAAGAATTGCACAGTGAGAACTTTGTTTCACCAGTATCTCTTCATGTCATGAAGAGCTGCATATGGCCCATTTTCAGGATGCCATTGGTAGTCAAACTGTGCAAGACAGTGTTGCTGCATCAGGTTTATTATGTGATGAGGGAAACTCTTCTACCAGTAACGAAGTTATCTGCTCAAGAGACTGCTACTCCATCTAGTGTTTTGCATGAAGAGGGCAACTCCTGCCCAGGACCTTCCAGAATGCAAAAAGACTGTGGTGTAATGTCATTAACAGTGCACCGTTCAGTAATTTGCAGTGACATGATTGAGCATTTTAGAGACACAAGAGTAATGCATTCTTTATTATTATTCACAATAATCAATGAAAGAGGTAATAAAGAAGAAGGGGTGGGTGTTGGTGTAGAGAGAGGTGTATTCATTGTTTTGGAAACAATTTGCCAACTTGATGACAATCAGAGAATGACAAAGAGTTACTTTCATAAGGCATGATCACTTCATCAAGGAATGGGAAGCAGTTGGCAGAATACTTATCAAAGGATACCAATCAGTCTCATATTTCCCTTTGTTCCTATCAAAAGCATTCATCTGCTATTCTTTGTTTGATGCTGAAGTTCCTGAAAGTATCCTTTTGGAATCCATCATGAAGTATTTGTCACCTGTGCAAGAAGACTAGTAAAAGAGTATCAAGAGAAAGCTTGCCTCCCAGATGATAATGACGAGTTGCTTGAGTTTTTGGAGAGATTAAATTGTAGATCAGCAGTTTCGGATTCAGAAGCCTCACGTTATGGTTTCCACTTGGCAGCCTAGAGTTCAAGGGCTGAAGCAGTATTCACAGTTTCAGAGCAGCTCTGGTATTGAAGGCGCCTACGATACATTAAAACCAACAACCCAAAACGTTCTTGAAATATTGGAGCAGAGACAAACACAGAGGTAGAGCGAGATCCCTTCAAGTTTCTGTAGCGTTGCATAAGAGGCTTAGACAATACCAAAGTAATCCACTTCTTGAGATTCATGACTGCATCAGATATCTTGATCACCAGTAAGTTGGAGCTGGCCTTCACCAAACTCGAGGGTGTGGGCTGTAGGCCCATTGCATGCACATGTGGACCTGTCTTAGAGCTCCCTTCCACTTACACCAATTTAGTTCAACTGAAGGAGCAGTTTAACAACATTTTCGACAAAGATACCCCAGAAATCAACATTATGTAAGTGCTTTTCTCTGATAACCATTGCTGTGGCTTACAGGGTTTTGTTTTGAAAAATTTCAGACAAGTTTGATTTTGATTTTTCATTTTTTTTTTATAGTTTGTTATTTTCGATAACACAAAAATAATCAAACTGACATGAAATGTTTAAAACAGAAAGGGAACTAGTCATTAAACCAAAGCAATTTCACCTCGAACATCAAAGATTTCTTATTCTTTATTATAAAAGGTTAATACCTTGCATGTACGTAATCCTATACCTAACAGTTGCTCACACTCTACTGTGGGTGGGAGGTAGTTACATCATTACTTCCCAGCTGGTAGGCAACAAAGACTATTGAGGGAGGCAGCCACAGTGCACGTTTGTTAAAAAATGTGTCTTAACCCATCGAAATCAGAGTTTCTTTGCATGAAAGTTTTTGTCATTTTATTTTGTTTTGCTCTCTGTGTGAGGGCAAGATGTTTAATTTGGTGAAATTTGGCCCCACCTATTAGGTGTGCAGGATAACAAATTTTCTTTTAGCCTATTAAGTTGCATGAAAGGGTATTGGATTAAACAAGGCCTAAAGATTAGAGCATTTCTGTGATGTTAGGGATGCCTCATTAAAACAAGTAAATCAGATACAAACTCTATTGATTTTTCATCCAAGCTCGTAAATGCATGACATCTATTTGTAGTAAGCTACTGGTAATTGCTTCTTATATTCTTTAATAGCTTAAACCTACATTTGCCAAAGGTTTTTCAAGATGAACATTGCAATATTCATGTATCTGCTATGATTTGGTTTTGTGGAGCAACTACCTCCCACCCACAGTAGAGTGTGAGCAACTGTTAGGTATAGGATTACATACATGCAAGGTATTAACCTGTGACAAGTTAGAGTAGGTAGTATTACTAAGAGTCAAATTCTGTCAGGGATAATTGGCTAAAAATGAGCAGTCATAATCTTAAAGAGGCTTTATCAGT